GTGAAGGTGTGGGAGGCCGAAGCCGACGCAGTACCTGAGAGAGCAGACTCACCAGCACCTGAGTGAGCAGACGCACGAGCACCTAGAGCAGCAGCCTCGCTAGCACCTAGAGCAGCAGCCTCACCAGTACCTAGAGCAGCAGTCTCAATGCCCGGGTCGGGCGGAAAACACCGGTAACAGTCACCCTCATCACTAATAGTCACAGCATACATGGCAGCAAGAATAGCATCAAAGTCAAGGTCAAAGACAGCTACACCCGCCCTAGACAGCTCGCCCCAGCAGGGGATCTCAGTGGCCTTAGGGAACTGGTGAAGCCAAGCGTCCGTCAGGCGGCCAAAGCAGCGCTGGGTGGAGTGCGCACCCCCGCACTGCTCACCCGCGCGGTCGCCGGTGCGTAGGATGTAGGTGCACGGACCAGTACCCCCACCCCGCTGGCGTGCAGCGTACCACTCACGGAGCTGCTGAGGGGGGGGGATGTCACGAGTGCGCTGCTGCCGCTGCTGCTGCTGCTGCTGGCGCTGACCACCACCGGAGCCGACCCTCTGCCCAGCGCCACCCCGACCAGCTCCACCTCCTCCGCCGCCGCCTCCTCCACCGCCGCCACCTCCGCCACCTCCGCTCCCACCGCCACCGCCGCCGCCGCCTCCGCCTCCACTGCCGCCACCGACACCTCCACCCCCGCCACCACTCCCACCACCACCCCCACCCCCTCCACTGCCGCCACCGCTACCTCCGCCACCCCCGCCAGCCCCTCCAGCACCCTTTCCCCCCTTGCCCTTGCCGGTGCGGCGTCTCCCGCTCGGGGCAGACGCAGCGCCGACCGACTCGAGACCAACGAGGTCGGCCGCAGCAGCAGAGGCAACAGAGGGCAAAAGAGGGGAGGGGGAACACCCCTCAAAGATGGGGGTGCGAGGGTCACCACGAGAGGCTCCTACAGCTACTATGTTCTTTTCTGCTGCTAGGAGGGCCTTCTCGAGGAGGTCAACGGTGAGAGTGGTGGGGCAAACTGAGAGGAAGTGGTCCCTGACTACGCGAAGGGAGTCAGGGAGACGGGTGACTATGTAGTAGAGGGTGATGTACATGGGGGGGGGGGTTCTTGGCGCAGAACTCAGCAGGAAGCGCAGCGCGGTAGCGAGTGTCACTAGTGCGGAGGTGCGTAATGAGGTCAGCGACTGTGGGAAAGGCAGCAAGGTCAGGGAAGAGGTACGGTAGCATGAGGCGGCTCAGTGCAGCAGTGGCAGGGGAGGAGTAGCGCGCAATTACAGCGTCGTACAAGGTGTGAGCACTCTTGTACTGGCTAAAGTGCGCACGCTCAGAGGTAGGCAGGTGGCGACGCACAGCAAGACGTGCAGCAGCATCGCGCGTGGCCCACTGTGAGCGAACAGTGGCGTCAGCATCAGCAGTGGGGGCAGGAGAGGCACCAGAAGTGAGGTCAAAGAGGGAGAGGCCGTCTGCCCTATCGCACTGTAAGAAAAGCTGCAGGTCATCTATCCAGACGTCAAAGTCAATGGCCCGACCCTCAGCGTCAAAAGATAGGACACTAGGGGTAGCCATGACAGCAGTAGACTAGCAGCGCAAACAGTAGGGTGAGGGCAGTGCTGTGAAAGAGGTGCTGCTCTTACCGGACAGGGCGGCTCGGGCGGCTCGGCTGCAGGGCGGCTCGGCGGCTCGGCTGCTGGGCGGCTCGGCTGCTTGGCGGCTCGGCGGCTCGGCTGCTGGGCGGCTCGGCGGCTCGGCTGCTGGGCGGCTCGGCTGCTGGGCGGCTCGGCTGCTGGGCGGCTCGGCTGCTGGGCGGCTCGGCGGCTGGGCGGCTCGGCTGCTGGGCGGCTCGGCTGCTGGGCGGCTCGGCGGGGCCGCTGAGAGGGCGGCGTCCGGGGCCGCTGGGAGGAGGCGGCGGGGCCGCTGAGAGGAGGCGGCGGGGCCGCAAAGGTAGGTGGCGGGGCCAGCAGGTAGGTGGCGGGGCCAGCAGGTAGATGGCGGGGCCGCACAGGTAGGTGGCGGGGCCGCGGGTAGGTGGCGGGGCCGCTGGTAGGTGGCGGGGCCGCAGGTAGGTGGCGGGGCCGCACAGGTAGATGGCGGGGCCGCGGGTAGGTGGCGGGGCCGCTGGTAGGTGGCGGGGCCGCAGGTAGGTGGCGGGGCCGCAGGTAGGTGGCGGGGCCGCACAGGTAGGTGGCGGGGCCGCGGGTAGGTGGCGGGGCCAGCAGGTAGGCGCCGGGGCCGCACAGGTAGGCGTCAGGGCCGCAGGTAGGCGCCGGGGCCGGAAAGGGCGGCGTCAGGGCCGCAGGGCGGCGCGAGGGCCGCTGGGTAGGCGACGAGGCCGCAGGGCGGCGGATCGGGGCCGGGTAAGGGCGGCGCGATGGCCGCGGGGTAGGCGACGAGGCCGCCGGGCGGCGGGTCGGGGCCAGGAAGGGCGGCGCGAGGGCCGCAAGGCAGGCGACAGGGCCGCTAGGGCGGCGCGACGGGGCGAGAAAAAAAGAGAGGGGGGAGCGCGACTCGGGCTAGGACTGAGCGCGCTCCGGGCAGAAAAAAAAAAAATGTCGAATTGGTGGGCCCTAGGAACAGTTCCCACGAGGGAACCTGCTCGATACCATGTTAGAATAGAAACGAGAATGGATGGACTAAGGGAAAGTTGGGTACAAATGTAAACCCTAGAAAACTGTACCCCATATGTGCTACCCCACTATAGCCTACAGTAGCTATGTCATATAAATCTGACACGTGAAACTACCTACGTGGTAATTACAACGCAGCAAGTCCGATCCGCTTTTTATCGACAACGTTCATGTACATGCCAGCTGCACGCCACTTGGCATGAATCGGAATCCCCGCGTGTGATTCTCGCCTTCCAGGGTCACCCATGAGGGTTTGCTCTCGCATGCTTGTCGCAGTGTTCAACCTCGATTTGTTAAAAAACAGACCGCGAGCATGAGCGAACGAGGATACTCCAGCACAGCCCGTGTGGTCCCCAACAGGATAACACAACGTTCGAGTCGCGGCATCCAGCCATTCAGTGCTCGCCGTGTTCAGCACGCAAATCTCAAAAGCGAGGGCAGCTCTTGCACGTGATTCGAGAACCCCGTTCACCCGCTCTCGTTTTGATTGTCATTCTTGCTCATTACCTGATGTGTTATACCGACCGTCCTGCATTCGCCGTTTATATTTTCACCAGTCCGTTTCGAACCACCTCGCATTAGCAGTTCCTCTAGCCGTTGTTCACAAGATTCAGACCTTGAGGCCCGCCAAGACAGCACGCTTTACTCCTTCGTTGCCGTTACCTTACCGCTCACCAGCTTTCTCCACTAGCGACTAGAAATGCCTACGGGCCGGCCGGACGACCCTGTGAACGTAGGAGACGAGGAGGAGGACGACTTAGTTGAGTTAGAGGACGAGTCGGATCACGGCAACACGGGTGGAGAAGATGCCACGAAAGTCCCTAGTGGCCGCCGCACGCGTAATAGGGGAGGCCCGCACCAGAAACGCCAAAGGATGTCTGGCGCAGAACAGCAACAAACCACTGGCCCGACTACTAGGGCGCACCGTGCACGGGTCACGGAAGAACCGTATTTATTCCAACCACCGCCTCCACCACAGAAATCGCTACCACCGGCACATGATCTTATAGCTGACATGGCACGGAGCATGAAGCAGCTCCCGGGCATTACCCCAGCGTGCCGAGCTAAGAAAGAACCATCGGTCAAGAGTGGCAATTGGCCCACGAAGCTGGTTTCGAACTGGCATGGGTTCGGCACTACGTTGAACGTTGCTGACGCACTCCACATGCAGGACAATGCACCAATCACGGACACCGCGTTGGACTTCCACAACATGTAAGTCCCGCCATCGTTGTGGAGATGTTATCGAACGGGAAATCAGAATTCGCATGACATAGATTCAGGGACTGATTCCTACTATCCTGCGCGCTTCAACCCCCCTGCCTGTACCCGTGCAGCATCTTGGACATACGCCATCCGAAATTGGACAATGAAAAAACATGGATCGCGCTCGATGTGAAAGCTTACGACTACTGGGCGTCACAAATGAAGCTCATCGCATGTTGCGACGACAAGGAAACCTTCTTACGATTCGACTATGTGGCAATTTTTGCCGCGGCTGAGTATGTGATGCAATCACCCGCCCGGATTTGTTCTTACGGCTACGGCACTCTAACCACTACCGTCGTGTTTCCTTCAGGTTTCACTTCAGCCTGTTTGTTCTGGAGAACTCTAGCACGCTTGTCACATCATCCGACGGTGGTGAGGAGCCGCCCCCCCCCAAGCTGTGGCTATATGATTCGACAGGTCATCATGCAGCCAACCCTGCCGTCGTCACAAATGTCCGCCTGTAAGTCTAGGTGGAGAGTGAGCTTGTAACCGGTTTGGCGCAAACCTGCTAATCTCTTTCCATGTGCTATGGCAGGATTCTCGCCTCGGAGCTGAACCGTGTCTACCCCGAACTTTTCCGAGCGGTGGTCGAGTCCCGGATTGGCTCCATCCCGTATCGCGCACTCGATGTGAGATACTTGAGTTTTCGAGCTTCGTAGCCAAGGGTTATGTTTACTAATGTCAAACGGTTGTTATTCACATATCCAATACGAGATACCGCGGCAGCCCGAGAAGAGTCTCGACTGTGGGGTCTACGCAGCCATGTACCTCCACTTGCACGTGACAACCAACTTCCAATACCTCGGCGGTCCAATCGCATTCACAACTGCACCCCTGCGTTACCATCGTGACTGGCGGGCAAACATGTGCGCCCATATCTCTGGCAATCTGCTATCTGCCCTTCAAACTGCGGGCCTCACTCTTCCCCCACAGAAGCTCACACGTGCAGGTGCCGTGCCTACCAGTGGAGACGTGTCAGAGATGAGCGGTGTCGTCCGGGAGACGAGCTCCGAAGTGCAGACCCTGAAGAAGGAAGTCGCTGCTCTGCGCGCAGATTATGCCGAGCTGCAGTCGAAGTTCACCAGCGTGAGCCAGTAGTTGTTTGAGCGCGTGGGGGCAATGGAGAAGGCTCGTGAAACAGCGAACAAGGAGGGTGTGTTGGGTGCGCCTGCTCACGGTGACGTGGCCTCTCCATCCAAGCGGGTGGACTCCAGTCCCGACCCGGGTCTCAGAGACACCGCGGCCTCCCCCCTTGCAGGATTTCGGCAGGCCTCGCGGATTGGGCCCAACGAAGAGGCAGCGCCGCCGCAGCAGCACCACCGTGAACCACACTACGCACCAGCATCGCCGTCACCCGCCCCCGCTACTGCACAGCCTCATCAGCCTAGCGTGCCACCGGGCCGGGACGCGGTATACTATCAGCCGGGCACATCCCGCCCTGCTCCGCCGCAGCGACCGGTCGCTCCAATCCCACCTGCGCCTCGCCCGTCTGCTCCCATATACCCAGGCTTCGCTGCCGGGCCACCTTATGCTCCCCCGCCCGGTATGCCGTTTTACTGGCAAGGAGGTCCCCTGCAGCCCGCACCCCCCCCGCAGCAGTCGTTCGCACCACCCGCCAACCCGAGTATGAGTGGCGCGGGTGAAGGCATTGGGGAATGGATGCGCGACGCCGGTGGCGAGGCAGGTGTAGCTGGAGCTGCAACCGAGGCCTTCAACGGTGGACGTCCAAAGTCCAAGTACGCGGGTGTTACCGGGGGGGGGGGAGATGTTTGGTTTGCCAAGCTGTTGATGCCGGCCCCTCAAAACCCCATACGCATGGGGCCTTTCCCGAGCGAGGAGGAGGCAGCCAAGGGATACAAGGCTGCCGCAGTGGTGGTACGGCAGCAGAGTTATCGCATCCAGCGCAGTATTGAACTGACCCTGTCGGAGCAGCAGCTGCTGACCGGGTGCACCAGGCAGCACGTGGCAAGCCTAGCCGAGCGTGGCCTCTGGCATAGGTGGCGCGAATGGCGGCAGCTCATGCCGGAGCTTCCGCCGGCTCCGCTGCTACATGTTCTTCACGCCTCCACCATGCTGCCTCTGCGCACGCAAGCACAGCCGAGCAGCGGCCAGGCAACACAACCTCCGGGCATGGGCCACTCTCGAGCACAATGTGGTCAGCAGCAATATTTGGATGAGCACCAGCACTACAAGTGAGGTACGTTTTAGAAGTGTGCTCTATCCACATTTTCACGTCTGTTTTTTACCTTGTTAAACTGTGTGTTTCCGTCTCAGATTGATGGTGCAAGATTGTGATATTTCTACGGCAAGATCCATAGTCACGAACATGCGCTGGTTTCCGCGGTAGACCTTGCCTCTTTTTTATTGCAGCTTCAGCATGTTTAGTTGACATAGCTTGCTCATGGTAGTAATAACATTATAGAGATGCATCGGTCGTTGAGCGGTCGTAACCGTGTTAGTGGCTGACTATGATCACGCTCTGTATTTAGGTTTTTAGCTACCTTTTGACACAACAAGGAGATACAAACTTTAGTCTGTTTGTGAACGTTCGTTAATTAACGGCCAAACACTAGCGATCAAGATCAGCCTCGACACGGTGAAGTCGTGGCTCATCCCGGTGCCAAATCATCACGGTGCAGACGACGGTCATTACTGTGTTTGTTAATTAACGGTCATAACACGGCGCGTTGAAAACCCGATCATTACCATAAGCGACAGGGTAAATGCTAGGGCGCATCAACGTATAGCACGGTAACACTGAGCGGGGCATGCAGACTGCATTGTGCTTGTCAAGACATGTGGTGTCGCTGAATCAGCGTGTCCACCACTGGTCCACGTTGGAAAACACAGACACACTCGAGTTTCGCCGTCGTGCATCGCAACGACGCTGGACGGCGCTGTGATTCGGAACGTGCACCGCGCATGTCAGTAACGCGCATTGTTAGAAACGAGTAACATTGCACGTTTGAACCAATCGAACACTTGACACGTGTACCCTTCGAAAAGCGTGCAAATGCAACTACCCTCACATCCGAGAGATATATTATAAAAACCACAATCAGACATAGTACCATGCTACAATACCAGACGCAAGAGGTACGCTACAAGGGAAGCTAAAACTTCTACCATCACCAAGGATAATAACAGACGTAACATGAGCAATACTCTCTACGACCCTCATGTTGTACGACCTACTAACAATGCACTGGATGGCAGCAGTGCCTCATCGACTGTTTTTAACCACGACGAACAGGACGGCCGGGTGAACGGCACTCCTTATGCTCACACCGACGAAGTGGAGGGGAAGACAAGCACTATCTACAATTGGCACTCGTTTGGAATTTCGGTCTCCGGAGCAGACCTATCTCGCTTGTCCTCGTACATGGCCGTGAACGACAACATTGTCGACTTACACAACATGTAAGCACATCATGCTGGTGCTACGTTTCCAGGTTGGCCACTTGGATGACGTTAACGGTTTCTCGTACGTACCTGACAGCTCGTTAACGGTTTCTCGTACGTACCTGACAGCTTGCTTGACATTCGTCACCCACGCCTTGGAAACGGACAAACATGGATCGCTCTCGACTCCAAGGCCTTCGAGTATATGTGGAAACATGGCAAGCTCATTTCATGCTGCCCGGCTAAACGGTCGTTTCTCGACTTCGACAGTGTAGCGATCGTGGTCACCGGAAGGTAACAACCGTGCCACTCCGTCGTCATAAAGCACCGCAAACTAACCCACATTCCGTCCTAAACGCCGATAGAATGTGCTGTGCAGGTTCCATTTCACCCTGGTGATTGTCGCCAACGCAAAAGTCCTACTCGCAAATCCAGACCCACGACCGGCGACATACCAGCCGTAATTCTACCACTTTGACTCTGCGGGCGTGCATTGCGATACGAGAACGGAATGGGATGTGATTGAAAGGTAACGCGATTAAATAAGTTTGAGTACATGGCTGATGTTCCCACGTTACTCCTAGTAGTTGCTCACAGATGTCAACGCTTTGTACAGGCTGGTCGCCGCGGAGATTCATCGTGTCCATCCTGGACTATGTCTACAGGCTAGCCTGGCCAGGGTGGAGCAAGTAGAATGGCGCATATTACAGGTACCATCTCGCCACTTGCGAGACAGTGTTCACGCTCTTTGCATCTCAATGATTTTAAAACGCCGCCTCTCTGTTGCTTATGCAGGCTTCGGAGATCCCACAGCAACCTCTTGGGAGTGAAGACTGTGGTATATACACATGCATGTTTCTACGCACCCTTGTGATCCATGATTTTCAAAACCTTGAAGGGCCTCTGTATCTCGAGATGGACCCTGCGGACTATCGGGTGATCTTACAATCCGAGTTATCGTCACTTCTACGTGGTGCACTGACGCTGCAACTACAGGCGGAGGGGGTCATACTGCCATCGCAAGGGCCATACCGTAGGCGTCACGAGGAGGGGTCCGTAACCGTGGAGGCGGAAGCTCCAACAATTCGACAAGACCTAGCGCAGCGACTAGAGATTGTTAGGCTTACACGGGAGGTTCAGATGCTTCGTGCTGGCATTGCAAGCATCCGTAAAAAACAGAGGACCTACGGGTGTTTCTTACTGCTAAACTGGACGACATCGAGTACCGTCAACAACAAGAATTCTCTAGATGACGTTCTCCCTTGTTTTTATCTTTGTGGTATCTGCCAATCATGAAGTCGTTGGTGTTATTGATGGGGGTAGGCCCACACATGGCATACCAAAAAATTTGCACCGTTATAAACTGTCCCATTGAGTAACGTTAAAAATCCCACAAATTCAAAATGTGTAGGATTTATCTAGCTACCTACGCTGATTTACAAGTGTACAAAAGAATATTGACTGAATATCCAGCCGTGTGCTCTCTAAGGGGACCGATTTTCCAGCCTGCAATGGAGGTGTACACTGAATGCACATGTCGGGATCCCTGTTGTAAAACACCCGAGATTAATAGATGTGATCCAAGTGTTCAATAGGGTTAAGTACACACTGAAAATCCGGACTTCTTTGTTTCCATAACTCGCACTTTCACCCAGTTTCACAACGTCACTACACACCCTGAGCACAAGCAATAGGGGCTTCTAGGTGCCATAGTGGGATAGACGGGCAACAGGTAACATGTTGCTCGAAAACTTTGGTTTGGCACTAGTCACATGGCACAATACTAGGTATGAAGTTGAAATGTTTGGTACCTATGCAACCAACTACAACAGTGTTATGAATGTGAAGAGTCAGAGTTGACTCGAAACGTCATAAGGGTGAGATGCATCTGGACCGTCGGAGCAGACGGCATCGGGCAGCTGCAAGCTGGTGGGTTTAGGCGGTAACAGTTTCGTAACTGTACGCGCCGAACGGTTGGGAATGAATTTGAGTAAGGGAATGTACCCATTAGAGTACATGGCTAGCTAGGACGTTTCGTATTCCCTTGTACTCTTATTTATGGCGTTGTACTTGCTTGTTTTTATTCCTCTGAAGCATTTAACTTCACCCTGCTATTGAGGATTTGGGTCCACCACTACTAGATTAGACGTGTGCGAACCTACCCGAGGTGATCCTGGTTACGATCATCCCCTGATCGCAGCACGTGGTGCACGAATATGAAGATGAAATGTTGGGTACCTTTGCAACGCACTACAACAGCAACCCATCTGGTTTATCATCTAAACAAAACTGTCAAAGGTGATAGGAAATGTGTGCGACCGTCAAAGTCACGGTACTAATGCCTGTAAGGCACTTAGAAGAGTGGACTGTACCACTCAGAGGACATGGCTAGCTGGAACTATTAATCATGTGTTTGATCTTGGTTGTATTCTTCTATGTCATATACATTCACTTTGATTTGACTTTCTACCACAAGATCTCCGTTACCAAACTAATATAACAATTCCTATGCTATTCAAAGGTCTTTTACTCAAACAACGTTGGTATGAAGGGGCGTATGCGCTCTCACACACTACACAAAGAAATCCTGTTATCCTACTCCTAACTGGCAAGTATTCGTACACAAACAACACTTTGTTCAGGACTTCAATACCGTTGCCACATTCAAACCACTCTCAACCGTGAGACGATCATAAGCTATGTGACGATACAATTTAAGGGCAAAAAGACGAATAATTTATCACGACAGTAACGGAAATTTATTTTTAACTTGTTCGCCAACTTATTAGCATCCCGCGGAACATCTCTTAGCGGACAAAACGGATATTGCCGTTTCCGTATATTTCCACCTGTCGAGCCCCTGGAACAATCCACGTTTCTCGCTCCGTTTTTTAACCTACGTAGTCGCCCAATCACGGAGCCGCAAGTGTCGGTCGGTTCGACGTGACGAAGCATTTGCATGAGTCCTTGTACAAGTCGGGGGAGACATTTGACGCCGGTTTCACGGACTGGACAGGGTTATTTAAAACCCGTTGTGATGTTGGTCGTGTTTATTAACCATACGTGTCGCTCCCTTCCGAATGTACAGCATTTGCTGCCAGCTGTCACGAATCATGGGCGCACTCCTGTTTACCTGAAAATAATTATCATCCAACGCCTATAATTGCGGAACTGTCGCGTGCTAATTGCATGACAGCGGAGGACATTACCTCCGTCGCACGGGGTGCCAAAAATCCCCCCATGCTGAATGTACCCGGACAACATTCAACTGTCACATCAGTCCCTATCAACGCCTACTATGTTGTGTGATTGGTCAATAAAACGCAGCTGTTGTGCAGGATCACACAACGTGCGGCCCCTGCGAGGATGCGCCATAACCTTCAATCGTTGCGCCCGATTGGCGATGAGCCATCTACCTCTGCAGGCGCCGATGCACCTTCCAACAATCTGTCAATTTTTTGCACAAACTTGCTTTGCCTTTTTAGGTTGTGCATTTGGCTAAAAAACGTCAGAACAAATCGCAAACTAGCGACTCACATGTGTGTGAGGCAACTGGCCTGGTGACTGGGGTTATTGTTTTTAAACACGATGAGTTTGGTTGTACGTTATAGTGTTGCAGATTCGTGATCGGTCAATCCACGTGTCCGACCCTATGTCGTTAATTCGTCAATGTTAATTTCGTTCCGAACCACCATCCGATTGGGTTTCCGATAAACAGTATCGACGTGGTAGTGGTGTTTAGCAGTTAAACACACTGTAGATCACGACGTCGGAATACTAACATTCGTTAGCACAGGTTTCGATGTTAAAAAACATATGGACGAAACGCAATCTCGCGACTAACATGTGTTGGAGGCAATTGGCCGGGTGACTGGGGCTAATGTTTTTTAGCACGATGCGTGTGTTTGGAGAACGTATTATTGTTTTTGATAATACGCGAGCGCG